TGCCCAACAGGTTAGTAAATATCATTCTTGGCTAGCCAGTTACTTAGCTCCACTAATCTCCTACATTACTCAAATGCAAAGCCTATCTGTGTTGGCTTCCATTTAAAGCAGGTATGAGTACTGTACAGACAAGAGATGGGAATGAAACTAAATTCTGTCCTTAATTGTCTTAATTTTTTATTTGTAATTGAATTCATTTAAGACCAAATACAAAACGAGTATAATATCACCATTTTACTTCATCATAAGTTGGTATGAAGAAAGAGTTAAGAGTGCTAACAGGTTTGGAGGCCAGATGAAAGCATTGCAACCAATGACACATAAGGAACTCGTTTGTTCTGATAATTGCTACTTTTCTTTTGACTTTACTAAGACTTGACTAGAGATTGAATTTTGACTTCATTAAACCTAGAAAATGAAGATTCAAAGATAGCTTCTCAAACTAGAATTCGGCCCTGTCACCAAGCGTAGCAAGAGTTTCAAAGAGAAAGATAATTGGAGTTTTCTTAAGTGAGCTTTGAAACTTACCTGAAAGGTGGGATAAAAGCTACAAACGATGTATTAAGCAGTGTGAATTAATTTTAGACAGCTTGTTCAGTTTACATACTAGTAGTAATAACTTTCTTTTCTACTGTGACTACCCAGAAAATAATCTCTATTAATGTTTCTCCTGATCTCCTTTGAGGAAATACTCCAAGGTCAGCTGTCACCTGATCATACGGTCCATAAGATAATTGACTGATATTCTCAAATTTGATTACAGTAAATGGGAAAAGTAAATCAGTTCAATGCAAGAAAGAGGGCAACCATTTACTTTACTTCCCAAGCTACCAGCTACATTTTATCAGAATTAGATTATGGTGATGGTTGTTTTCAACCCAGTTTGTAAAGCATCATAATTTTATTGTTATCTAGAAACGGAGCCCCACCTACCATGTTCCTTCAATGGCAGCCATGGCTGAATTTTGTGGAAACAAAGCATTGCATTTTACAGACAATAACGTCTATAAATTCATGTTACTCCCAAGACTGTTCGGGCCTTAGAAATCATCTGCAAAATTTACACGGTGTAGCACTAAGAAAAGAGACTTTGGGGAAGAGGAAATGAAATTAACTGGATAAATTCTTATTTGGAAAGGAGATAAATGACAAATGGAAGAAAAATGCAAATGGCAGAGAGGCAAATCATTTCCTCTAATATCTATGTCTCCTGATAATATTTTTGAACGGCGATTAGAGATGGGCAGCTAAAGCTGGAAGATGAGTAATAAAAATATCTCGAATCCTACTGGAATATCATGTTCTACATTCTTTCTTTTTCCATTCTTGGGGAGACAAAAAACAAAATTACACTAATTGCCAACAAACACAATCCTGTTACATATAAGTAGAAAAAGTACAATCACATTCGCTCCAAACTACCTTCCCTTCCTCACCCATCCTTAAGTAACTCCTAAGTTTTCAAGCGAGAGCCCTTTTTTGGGTGATGGGGGAGACCGTGCCTACAATCCTTAGCAATGATTTTTCTGACTGCTGAGTACCATTAGTCACACGTCCTCCTCATGCCCATAAATGGAGGCCAAGCCCACACTGATGCTATCAGACGAATTTAAACAAGGCATGTTCTAAGAGAACCCTCAGAGCCAGACTGACAACACCCCTGCAGCAAACCCCTCTTCAACACAAGCATGTTTTATTTCATCTTACGCCGGGGTGCACACTGCTAACAGATGTGTAGACCAAGTTGTGATGGCTGTGTATACCTAGGGCTTGGAGCAGTCCTCCCACTGAGATATTAAGCTGGGGTGTTTTCCTGTGAGGGAAAGTCAAGGTCCATATATTTAATATTAAGAGGAGTCTATTTCTTTTAACCGACAGTTTCCTCTTCATCTTAGGTTAGAACAGTCACTCATTCACTCATTCATTGATTCATTGTGTCACCTTTCAAACATTCAGGTGCTTACATAAGGACCAGGCATTGGGCTTCAGGCTGGGCAACTCTTCGGAGAGAAAAAGTCAAATGATTTTCACGAAGCCAACAATCTCAAGTAATTATTAAGCAGGGTTTATGAGAAGAAAATTCGATTTAATTTTTACTGCATTAACCCACGCTTACTTATGCCATAGGAAGGTAGTAATGAGGTGGCAGAAAGAGCAATGAACCAATAACTGGAAATCCTGGGTTTAAGTTCCACAAAGGGACTGCGTGACCGTGGGTAATTTACTTAACCTCTCTGGGCCTCACTTTTCTGTATTGAAAAATGAGTGGGTTGGACTTAAGATTCCTTCCATCTCTAAAATTCTTTTATTCTATATGGTAACACATTCCATAGAGCTTCCTTCTGACCAGAATTAGTCTGTGATTTCTTTGCAGACGTTTCCCTCTTGACCTCTCTGATCATTAAACCAAATATGAACAAGAAGCAGTAACATTTTGTCACAGCCAACAAATTGCCCTTCCACAGAAGGAACTTTGGAGGTCAGGCCACCCATTGCAGTATCTAAATCCAAAGGCAATGGTATGACCAACTTGTGAGCTGGCAGGCTGCCATCCCAAAGGATGGAAATGGTTGTAGGCAGCCAAAATTCTTGGCTGGTACATTTTTAATAAACATAGAAAATAAGAACAGCATTTTCCACTAGGATTGCTTAATTTGGTACCCATACCACTGGAACATTTGCTGTTAGGATAAAGATGATGTGATATATCACTTATTTAGCGCAGGATGGCTTAACTTTCACAAATGAGAAGTAGGTTATGGAGTCATCTGTAAGGAATTTTTATCCTTGCCTCTTGTCTCTGGCAGGAGATCATTGGAGTCATCACAGCAAACTCTCCACCCCTTTTGGCCCTTTGTAAGACTTTTCCCTGAAACATAAGCTCTGCTGGATTTACTGTATTGCTATGAATGGACTAAGGCAAATTGGTGTGAATTCTTTGTGGCCGAATATGTTTTATTAATACTTTTCCAAGTGGTTCAATATGTCTTATTACTACTTTTTCAAGAAGACAAGCCTCCACAGCAAATGTTCTTTGGTTAATTTGGGGAACAATATTTGAGGTGTATGTGTTTTAATTACATAAATGATAGTATTTGTAAGACAATGACTCTCATAGTTAGTAGCTATGATGTTTAATTGTGCCTATTGCACTAACTCATCCAGTTCTTGAGCTCTGTATTTCCCTGTCTCTACTTGTAATATGGCAACAAAGACATCTGAAAGGTAAGGGTGTTTTCTCTCCAGTGCTTGGAGATCCTTGAATAAAATATTCTCTGTGATGGTAAGCTGTAATTAGATGTGGGTGGAAATTAGTGTTCTTCAAGTACACCATGTTTAAGCAGAGGCACTGTGCTTTTCAGTACTCGAGGCCACCCTGGTCCGGAGCAATAGCTCCAGGTCACCGCTTCTAAAGGGCTGCTGGTTTGAGGCTGCAGGTTCCAAAAAGAAAAGAACTCGGTATTGAGTCTAAAACCAGGAGGCTTTTTATAGTTAAAACTGGGCCACACAGTTCTATTATAGACAAGTCAGGCATTGACCAAGTATGACTGTAACTTGCTCATTTTTCTTTTGGACGTATAAATGATCTCAACTGTCATAACTATAATTTGAACTGTACCTCCATCTTAAAATAAAGCCCCAAAACTTTTGCATGGATTTCTTGGAGTCATGGTAGGTCCTCCATTTTGAATGAGATCCTCCAGTCATAGGAACCCAGTAGCAACAGACCTTTTCCATCCTAGTTATATTTTTATAGACAATACCGTACCTCCCTGCCTCGGGACTACAAGAGGCCTGCAATGTGTCCAGTTTAAATTTTTATTTAATTATTGGATTTGCTTTTGGATACCAAAAAACTCCCACAACTATACTATACATTCTGGCTTCCTAGGCGAACCCTCCCCCCCCCCCCTCCCCATTGGCTTTAAGAGTTTGCTTCGCCAGCATTTTACATTTACCGTTTAAGGGAGGTGATTTTAACACAGAATGTGAATGACGGAAAATTTAAAACGATCGTTAGTTCACATCCCTCCACCCCCACCGCCCGGAATTCCCTTTTCGCTAATGACGAGAGAAAGGGGTTTCACTGGCTGCGTTGCCTCCACTCCTACTGCTGCACACCGTGCGGCGCGCGTCTCCCGGCGACTGCGGTTCTCCGCGAGTTGGCTGCGTTCGTTTGGGAATGAAGTCATCCCTATACATAGTGTGCATATCAGCTCGTGAAATCGGCACAGCACGCAGGGATTCCTCGGGAAGAAAAGGAGCGAAGCGAACAATGATGACAATATTTTACATTTTTATACGCCCCTCCCCCTCCCCCCACCAAATCCCGGAGGAATGGCTGGGAGCAGCCGGGCGGCGGGGCCGGTTGGGATGCCCACCGACTCGCCGGTCCCGGTCCTGAGACTGCAACAGGGCGAGCTGAGGACAAGTCCCGCGCGAGGGCCCCCGGCCGCGAGCAGAGCCGGAGTCCCCCGGCCGGGCCCGGTGCCCAGTCACGCATCCCGGTCGCCACCTCCCGGCTCCCTACGCCGGTGCACAGAGGTCCCGCGCCCGGGAGGTCCCGGCGCCTGGGTCTCCGCACCCCAGCCGCAGGGGAGGCCCGGGAGCTCCCCCGGCCTCAGGGGAGCGCGAGGCTGCGGGGAGGGGGCCGATCGCCAAGGACAACCCCGGGCGAGGAACCCCCGGTGGAGGAGGCGGGGTGCGGG